GTCATGAAAGTTTTCTCGTTTCCTACCTTGAGAGGTTGCCTTGAGATGGTTTCGGGGCTTAGCGTCCCCGACGGCCCGGTTCTCGATCAGGCCTCCTACATGCAAGAGAAAGCATGGATGCTTTCTCTTGCCTACCCTGTCGGAAAGCTTTTCGATTCCATTCCTTCCGTCCGTCTGAAGGCTTTCCGGCGATCTCATTTTCTACAGTAGCTTGTTGGTCTTGTTAAGTCCCCCCCTCGTCGCTGCGTCGAAATGGAAGACTAAAGGGGAGACTTCTCTGCACCTTTATCTCTCACTTTTTACTCCATTTGCATCCATGGCTTTGGTGGCTTCCCCATCCCTTCCTCCTTACCCACTTCCCTTCCATTAAGTCCCTCCCTCCCTCCCTCACTCCCTTCCAAGCCCCTCTTCATCAACTTGTTTCTTTTATCGGAAGTTCAAGAAAACAATATCATCTTCACTTTTTCAAACTTTTTCAAACTTTTTCTCCTTTGCCCTTCACCGTGTAGTCGCGCTACGAGGAGAGAATTAGATATAGGACGCTAAAGATGGGAAAGGGGGGAGGGTGAGGTAGAAGATGGGAAGCGATAAGATGGTAATGAGAAGAAAATGGGAAGTGGGAAGAAGTGGGAATTGAAAGTGTGAAAGAGAGGAAATTGTCGAACAGAAAGTTGACAGGAATTGAAAAGATGGGAAGGCAGGAAATGGATGCACAGCGAGGAGTTTCTCTCTCTCTCTCTCTCTCTCTCGTTCCGTCCCCGTTTTCACTGTCATTCCCTTTCTTATTGCCATTCACATTCCCATTTTTATTGTCCTTTTCTTTTCCGTTTTTAGTGACTTTCTCTTTCATGTTTTCATTCTCGGTTTCTCGGGTTTATTTCCATTCCACTTCGAGCGCCTCCCAATCCATCAGCCAAGACGGTAATGTGGGAAAGGAAGGGGGTAAATAGAAGTAAAATAGAAGGAGTAAGGGGTTACGGAAAGGAAGATGGAAAAGAAGAAGGGAAAATTTAGATAGATATAGAAGAAAAGGAAGTGCAAAATAGAGATATAATGTAAGAGGGGGAAGTTAAAAGGGAAACGAAGATGGAATGGCTGGGAGAATAAAGATAAAGGAGCTGGAGGAAAGGAATAGGTAAAAACGAAGGAAAGAGGGTGAATAGCAAAATAAGGAAACGTAAAGGGAAATGGAGAGACATAAAAGGAAACAATAATGGCTAATAAAGAATGAACGGGGAGAAGGAATAAAGTTAATAATGTGTGGGAGGAAGAGAAAGAGGAAGGAGGAATAATAGAACGGGGAGAGAGATACAAAGCTTTAAAGCTTAATTATCTACAGCGTTTTATATAGTTTTCAGCCATCTAGCCGGAGCACGTACATACGCCCCTCTTGTCGGCAACACCTTGATAGGCTCAGCCCTGATGACAGAGTTGCCAAGTGTCTCAAGATAAGGCAAATAATTCCCTTCAGTAACTTTTGCATAAGTTTGTTTTCAGCCAAATTATGAATTTCATGAATAAAATTCATCTCATTTTATTTCGTAAGAATACTTCAGCAAAGAAGATAAAGCTAGAAAGTAGTAAATATTATTCGAAAATTCTGGCGTTCGTTATGCTAAGTCGCCTCCATGTTCTTATTATTCCCGCCAATTATCCCGTTTTCTTCTTCATTGTTTTTCCCGCCAATTATCCCGTTTTCTCCGCCAAAGTTTTACTTTAGTTTCGCGATAATATAACTTTGGCGCTTGACGAAATTTGCTCATTAACTTCTTTTCTGCCTTTTCCTTTGGGAGGTTTGATTGCATCCGGCGAAAAGTTAAAGAGATTTACTGAAGCAATTGCAAACATTATCAACACGTTTGAATTTAAGGGTGAGAAAGACCTAAGTTAAAAACATTAATTGTAATTAATTATACATTGTTAAATGAATTACGTCACAGCCTCATCCCAAATTAAGTTTAAGACGACGAGAGATATACATATACATATACACATAGAGGAATATGTATCCCTCATTTCTCGGTATGTATACTATGTGAGTTTACAGTCCCAAGAACGTGGTTGAAGATTGGACAATCAGCGTTGATATCAAGTCCGGCGTTGATATTAAGTCCGGGGTTGATATCAAGTCCGGCGTTGATATTAAGTCCGGGGTTGATATCAAGTCCGGCGTTGATATTAAGTCCGGTGTTGATATCAAGTCCGGGGTTGATATCAAGTCCAGAAAATATTCAAGTCTTGAATCCTGGACCTGAATATGACGTCGTGTAAACAAAGATATGAGAGTTTACAATAGCACAGGATACTCTTCAGAGTTTACTGAAGTACAGGATACTCTTCAGAATTATAGCATAATTTCCCATTGGTGAGTCAGCTGACGTCACGGCCTGATAGCGGGAACTTTGGTGTAGTTGACATAGGCTTTTAAGTTCCACCAGACAATGGGCTGCAAAACTTATTTAATTACTTAAATAATATTAGAGCTCGAACGTCGACCCAAGAAGCAGCGAGGTCGTCGACCAGTCCAAAGCAAAACTTAGTTTTTACTTTGGTTTAATTTCTTTTATTGATCATTCAATTTCCTGTTTTCTTGTCATTCCCTTGTCCGTTATCATTGTCATTCCCTTGTCCGTTATCATTGTCATTCCCTTGTCCGTTATCATTGTCATTCCCGTTCCCTGTTTGCCCAATCACTTGGGCTGGACGGTAGAGCGACGGTCTCGCTTCAGGCAGGTCGGCGTTCAATCCCCGACCGTCCAAGTGGTTGGTACCATTCCTTCCCACCGTCCCATCCCAAATCCTTATCCTTTCTCCTTCCCAGTGCTATATAGTCGTAATGACTTGGCGCTTTCCCCCCTGACAATTCCCTCCCTTCCATTTTCCAGTTTTCATTCACACTTAAGACATTCTTCGCTCTAATAGTTATGAAAGTGACGAAAACCGGTACCTGTACTCACCTAGTTGTGCTTACGGGGGTTGAGCTCTGGCTCTTTAGTCCCGCCTCTCACCCTGGAAACAAACCGTAATTGTCTCTATTTTCTGCTTGTTACAACTTGTAATAAAGTTCTTACATCTTAGCTTGACGTGTTTATGACGTATTAGAACGGTGTTACAACGTGCTATATTGGTTGTTGTAACTGGTTAGGAGGTGTTAAAACTTGTTCGAATGTTGTACCAACGTCGTAGTTTCGGTGTGTGTTTGGCGGGTGTCAACTGTCAATCAACTATGGTATAATTTCAACTATAGTATATCCTGTGTGTTACCTCTTGTATGTAAACAATGTGAGTAAAACAAGTGAGACGGGTGTTGCGCTTTGATCATCTGGGGGAAGATAATTGACCCCTTCAGCTCGCTGGGATAACAAAAGAAACAGATAACGAAACAACCAACGTTTCCATATGAAAACAAATTGTTCTATTGTTTTTGCGCTTGTCTTAGTATTAAAGAACAACACCCTAGCCTTCATTGTTTTGAAACAAGACGCTCACACCGCCAGGGAACTATCAGGGTTTTGGGAAAGCGCCAAGCCATTACGACTCTATAGCCCTTGGGTCTGGATAAGGATTTGGGATGGGACAGGGGGTGAAAGGAATGGTGCCCAACCACTAATGGACGGTCGGGGGATTGAACGCCGACCTGCATGAAGTGAAACTGTCGCTCTACCGTCCAGCCCAAGTGGTTGGGCGCTATCTCAGATATGTTTCGTCATTATTGGATCACAGTAAAGTGCTGGTGTTGGGTTTAAGGTTATTAAGTCCTTAAGGTGATTAAGGACTTAATAACCTCTGCAGGGTTATTAAGGCCTAATCACTTCTGAAGGGTTATTAATGGTTTTCATCATCTTGAGGGTTATTAAGGCCTATCAACCTCTGGAAGATTATTAAGGGCTATCAAACTCTGGAGGGTTATTAAGGACTATCAAACTAGGGGAGGGTTATTAAGGCTACCACAATAGCTCCTGACCAGCTAACAAGCATACGTTAGTCCTGATCATTGTCCAGAACAAAAGTAAACTCGTTAGGGTGAATACACCAAAGAGTGTACATACACCGAGACTACACACCTAGGTGTATACTCACCCTGAATGTGTTGCTTCTGGTGACTTGTTGATATCGAATAAGATATCAAGAAGTCACCAAAGAGACAGAATAGGAATAGAGAATAAGAGAGACAGACATGATAAAGATAAGGGCCAATAGCGAAACTATAAAATGTTATTGGAACCCATCAATTTTGTATTGTATATGTCACAGAAAATGGGATGTGACAAAAAAAACTGAGTTAAAGAAAATGGGATGAGTGGTAGAATACGACGCGAAAACATATTTCCTACAAAAAAGTAACTTACAAAAATTTACACGAGACGAAAACTAATATTCCATGGAGTTTCGTGCGCTTTACATGTGAGTGTTTGACCGTGTGTGTGTTTGTTTGTGTATGTCTGTGTATGGTTCCTGTATCTTATTCTAAGAGGACTGGAAACCGGTTAGGGGTGTCGAAGTCTCCTCTAAACCAATTGAGAGACCTTCAACCGAATGCAACCCACAAGACCTACCTAACTCCTGGTTACCTATTTAAGTGAACGGGCACATCAGGTGAAAGGAAACGTTTCCAAAACGCAGGCGATGAGTCACAATAACGTGGCTGAAGAATGTTGACCAGACCACACACTAGAAGGTGAAGGGACAACGACGTTTCGGTCCGTCCTGGACCATTCTCAAGTCGATTGTGAGTGGTCCAGGACGGACCGAAACGTCGTCGTCCCTTCACTTTCTAGTGTGTGGTCTGGTCAACATTTCCAAAACGTGTCTCGTACTACCTGGTAATGGAACCCAGGACGGGTTGTGTGCCGATTGCGCTGCCCACTGCGCTACAGGAAACACGCTGTGTGTACATGTTTGTCCAACACAATCAATTCTATTCCATGTAAGTGTCCACAACCCTGCTGAATTAGTAAGCAAGTCGATGGTAAAGTCATCGAACAACGTCTCTATTCAAGGGTTACTCAGAAGTACCAACACGACATCAATCAGCCCCTCAGAACACAAGAGAACCAACACATCAATCAGCCCCTCAGAACACAAGAGAACCAACACATCAATCAGCCCCTCAGAACACAAGAGAACCAACACATCAATCAGCCCCTCAGAACACAAGAGAACCAACACATCAACCAGCCCCTCAGAACACAAGAGAACCAACACATCAATCAGCCCCTCAGAACACAAGAGAACCAACACATCAATCAGCCCCTCAGAACACAAGAGAACCAACACATCAATCAGCCCCTCAGAACACAAGAGAACCAACACATCAATCAGCCCCTCAGAACACAAGAGAACCAACACATCAATCAGCCCCTCAGAACACAAGAGAACCAACACATCAACCAGCCCCTCAGAACACAAGAGAACCAACACATCAATCAGCCCCTCAGAACACAAGAGAACCAACACATCAACCAGCCCTTCAGAACACAAGAGAACCAACACATCAATCAGCCCCTCAGAACACAAGAGAACCAACACATCAATCAGCCCCTCAGAACACAAGAGAACCAACACATCAATCAGCCCCTCAGAACACAAGAGAACCAACACATTAACCAGCCCCTCAGAACACAAGAGAACCAACACATCAATCAGCCACTCAGAACACAAGAGAACCAACACATTAACCAGCCCCTCAGAACACAAGAGAACCAACACATTAACCAGCCCCTCAGAACACAAGAGAACCAACACATTAACCAGCCCCCCAGAACACAAGAGAACCAACACATCAACCAGCCCCTCAGAACACAAGAGAACCAACACATCAACCAGCCCCTCAGAACACAAGAGAACCAACACATCAATCAGCCCCTCAGAACACAAGAGAACCCTTTTCTTAGCAAGCTATACAAACTTGGAATAGATATTGCCCAAAGGAGATCTGTTGGACACTGAGGCTCAGATTTAAGGTGCTCCACGGTACAGCTTTCTGGCGCTCTTGTACCCCTGTAGTCTCTCCGTGCCTCATGTAGTTCAATACTATGCTTCCTTATATCCCTGATTAAACCACGAATTCCCTTGACGTATTTCATTTTTCTCCTTTTGGATCGATCTAAACCTGTCTGCTGCCTCCTCGTCCGTCTGGGAGGTGTATCCCACCATGTCTTGTACGATCTTTTCTGTGAGTTTTATTGTATTGCTCAATGGATCTTTCATATCTCTTTGTAGTTTCCCCCCTTCCATATACCGGCCTTTTCACCCTCTGATCCTTTCCTTAAGTTGGTTGTTCTTAGTTCCATACGATACTCAAATGGCAGCATACTGTGATCGCTTTCCCATAGACGGGTCTTCATTCTGAGTTTCCATGTACTTCACTCGTGTGTAGAGTGAGCATCAGGTCGAGTCTTGCTGGTTCGTCAGTTCCTGTCATTGTTCTGAGTCCCTTAAAAATGATGACTTCGAAAGTTTCTCATTGCCACGTTCAGCAGTTTACCTCTCTGCGTATCTATGCTTCACGTGGTTCTTTGTTTTACCAGTCAGTGTCTCTATGATTACAGGCAGGATTCAGAGGGATTAAAAGGCAGGATTCAGAGGGATTAAAAGGCAGGATTCAGAGGGATTAAAAGGCAGGATCCCTTCCTACTGACGACAGAAGCTGCCCATTCTTTTCTAGTAGCAGTTGCCATCTTATTTTAGTCGTATTCCGGTCTTGATCTTCAGTCATTCAGTAGAGGGTTGTATATCACTACTACCACTACCACTACTACTACCACTACTACCACTACCACTACTACTACTACTACTACAACTATCTTTGATCTTCCCATTGTCATTTTCCCTGATATGTAGTCCCCAAGATCTACACAGCCTGGAATAACCATCTCCTCAAAACTACAACTCGTTCTTATTAGCAGGGACACAACACCATTGTATTTGGGTGAGCGGTAGTGAGGGTAGTTGAGGTGGTAGTATTCTAGTAAACGAGAGTGGTTGAGCAGTTACAAGAGGCACTGGTACCATTGTCTGGTAAGGATATGATTGTGATAGGGTATGAGCATGGTAGGATATAAATATAGCAATATACGAGTATGGTACAGGTAGGTATCAGTACAGTAGGTGAGTATGGTAGGGTATGTGTGAGGTATGGCTTAGTGAGTAGTGTGTTTCCCACAGAAGAATGGTAAAGGTGAAATATTGCAAGGGGGCAGGTGTGGTTCAGGGCGGAACGGCAGGGCAGGGCAGGGCAAGGCAGGGAAGGGCAGGCCCGGACAGGGAAGAGCAGGGTAGGCCCGGACAGGGCAGAACAGGGCAGTCAAAAAGAGAATCAAGTGTTTACATCACCTGTACGTAACACGTATCTTTAACATGTGTAAACCCCATTTTTTAGAGAGAACGTAGTTCACAATTATATTATAATCGGGATTTTTTTTTCGGAAGGGGAGGGAGGAGAAGGGTAGATGAACTGCCCGGGCTTCCCTGTTCAGAACACGTTGTTGCCACGTTCATGGGATTAAACACTCTTGTACAAGTCTTGTGATCTCTTTGTTTATAACTGATAGTGTCCTCTTATCCAATTATGTGCCTCCTACTGTATGTATCTCACCCAAGTCATGTACTACCAGGGTGTATTACCAGTGTATACACACTACTAGAGTATACACACTACAAAGGTATACACACTACCAGGACATTTTGATTTGTAAACCATATCTCATCGTATCTTTCGTCTGTTGTAGCTTCCTAAATTGTCATTTGTGTTTGTGTATCTATACACTCGTCAGTATGCCCGGGTATATGTGTGTATGTATTTGTAGGTGTATATATATATCTATGTATACCTGTGTATATTCCTTGAAGAAGTGAGTGTACACAGCCCGCTACCTCCCAGAGGAGTCGACAAATCATTAACAAAAATCTTGACCTAATTGGATCTGAGCTCTGATTGGGTAAGGCTTGTTAGGGAAGACAGGAAGAGTGGAAATGAAGGGCGGAAAAGGAAGGTGGGGGGGGGGGGGTAGGGGAGTATAAAAGGGAGAGTATAAAAGGGAGAAAAAAAGAATAGGAGATAGAAAAACAAGAGGAAGAGAAGGATGAAATCGGAGAGAAAAAGAAGAGAAATCCAAAGAAAGAGGATTGGGTAAGAGTAAGGAGGAGGAGGAGGAGATTGGGGATTGAGAGGGTAATGAAGAAAATGAGAAAAGGGATAAAGGAGAAGGAAAAGGGGAAACAGGGAACATCAACAAAAAAAAGCAGAAGATGAATTTGAGAATTGGAAGTTTGGGATGTGGAATACGAAAATGAGAAGATTGAGTAAAAGAAAATGCAAACTGAGAGAAGAAAGGGAAGAAGATGGTGGAAAGGAAAGGCAAAGAAAGAGAAGAAGGGGCATTAAAAGAATGAACCACAAAGATAAACAAAAGAACGTGAACAAAATGGTAGAAGTTAAACCAAGGAAGTAGAGACAGGAAGACAATGATAAGAAGAAAAAGAAGCAATAGGAAACCATAACAAGAATCAGAGAAGACAAGAAGGCGAGATAAGATGGAATAAAAGAAGAGAAAGAGGAGACAAAGAGGAGCCTGCTGGCCTGGTAGCAGGAACCAGATTAACGCCACTTCGAATATGCTAAGGCTTTTCAGGCTCTAATTGGAATTAAAGTCTCCCGGGAGAAGTCTCTGGAGAAAAATTGAGGAGAAATATATAGAAAGTAAGAATTAAATGCGACAGGAGAGGAGAGGAATGAGATTAACGATACGACACAGAGAGAGAACACATTGAACAGAAATACGGCACACAGAGAACACATTGAACAGAAATACGGCACACAGAGAACACATGGAACAGAAATACGGCACACAGAGAACACATGGAACAGAAATACGGCACACAGAGAACACATGGAACAGAAATACGGCACAGAGAACACATGGAACAGAAATACGGTACACAGAGAACACATGGAACAGAAATACGGCACACAGAGAACACATGAAACAGAAATACGGTACACAGAGAACACATGAAACAGAAATACGGCACACAGAGAACACATGGAACAGAAATACGGTACACAGAGAACACATGGAACAGAAATACGGCACACAGAGAACACATGAAACAGAAATACGGCACACAGAGAACACATGGAACAGAAATAGGATGATACACAGAGAACACATGGAACAGAAATACGGCACACAGAGAACACATGAAACAGAAATACGGCACACAGAGAACACATGGAACAGAAATACGGCACACAGAGAACACATGGAACAGAAATACGGCACACAGAGAACACATGAAACAGAAATACGGCACACAGAGAACACATGGAACAGAAATACGGCACACAGAGAACACATGGAACAGAAATAGGATGATACACAGACAGGGACGAATAAATAAAAAGAATGGTGTCTGCTTACCAAATTCTGTTAATGTGTGTGTACAGGTAGCTCCTAGGGGTCCCCCTGGTGTATATACCTCTTGGGGGTCCCCCTGGTGTATATACCTCTTGGGGGTCCCCCTGGTGTATACACCTCTTGGGGGTCCCCCTGGTGTATATACCTCTTGGGGGTCCCCCTGGTGTATATACCTCTTGGGGGTCCCCCTGGTGTATATACCTCTTGGGGGTCCCCCTGGTGTATATACCTCTTGGGGGTCCCCCTGGTGTATACACCTCTTGGGGGTCCCCCTGGTGTATACACCTCTTGGGGGTCCCCCTGGTGTATATAGCTATTATGGAGCCCCCTGGTGTATATACCTCTTGGGGGTCCCCCTGGTGTATACACCTCTTGGGGGTCCCCCTGGTGTATACACCTCTTGGGGGTCCCCCTGGTGTATATAGCTATTATGGAGCCCCCTGGTGTATATACCTCTTGGGGGTCCCCCTGGTGTATACACCTCTTGGGGGTCCCCCTGGTGTATACACCTCTTGGGGGTCCCCCTGGTGTATACACCTCTTGGGGGTCCCCCTGGTGTATATACCTCTTGGGGGCCCCCCTGGTGTATACACCTCTTGGGGGTCCCCCTGGTGTATACACCTCTTGGGGGTCCCCCTGGTGTATACACCTCTTGGGGGTCCCCCTGGTGTATATACCTCTTGGGGGTCCCCCTGGTGTATATAGCTATTATGGAGCCCCCTGGTGTATACACCTCTTGGGGGTCCCCCTGGTGTACATAGCTCTTGGGGATCCCCCTGGTGTACATGGACTTCCCGAATTTCTTGTGTTTTTTCACTTTTGTTCTGACTATTGTGGATGGTGGAGGCTTCCACTACCTCACCTCTTACTGTTGTGGATGGTGGAGGCTTCCACTACCTCACCTCTTACTGGTGTGGATGGTGGAGGCTTCCACTACCTCACCTCTTACTGGTGTGGATGGTGGAGGCTTCCACTACCTCACCTCTTACTGTTGTGGATGGTGGAGGCTTCCACTACCTCACCTCTTACTGTTGTGGATGGTGGAGGCTTCCACTACCTCACCTCTTACTGGTGTGGATGGTGGAGGCTTCCACTACCTCACCTCTTACTGGTGTGGATGGTGGAGGCTTCCACTACCTCACCTCTTACTGGTGTGGATGGTGGAGGCTTCCACTACCTCACCTCTTACTGTTGTGGATGGTGGAGGCTTCCACTACCTCACCTCTTACTGTTGTGGATGGTGGAGGCTTCCACTACCTCACCTCTTACTGTTGTGGATGGTGGAGGCTTCCACTACCTCACCTCTTACTGGTGTGGATGATGGAGGCTTCCACTACCTCACCTCTTACTGGTGTGGATGATGGAGGCTTCCACTACCTCACCTCTTACTGGTGTGGATGATGGAGGCTTCCACTACCTCACCTCTTACTGGTGTGGATGGTGGAGGCTTCCACTACCTCACCTCTTACTGGTGTGGATGATGGAGGCTTCCACTACCTCACCTCTTACTGGTGTGGATGATGGAGGCTTCCACTACCTCACCTCTTACTGGTGTGGATGATGGAGGCTTCCACTACCTCACCTCTTACTGTTGTGGATGGTGGAGGCTTCCACTACCTCACCTCTTACTGTTGTGGATGGTGGAGGCTTCCACTACCTCACCTCTTACTGTTGTGGATGGTGGAGGCTTCCACTACCTCACCTCTTACTGTTGTGGATGGTGGAGGCTTCCACTACCTCACCTCTTACTGTTGTGGATGGTGGAGGCTTCCACTACCTCACCTCTTACTGGTGTGGATGTTAATCTACATATTTATGGTACCAATCTTGATCCCAATATACGTCAATGATCTAACAGAAGAAACTGTCTTCTCCACATAAATCTTGGCTAACATCTTAAAGCTAATGACATAATCAGAACCAAAGAGAGTTTGGGAGCATTTTAAAAATACAAATCTAGAGGTGATTTGAAAATTTATATATTTCTAACTTTATCCCAGACAAATGCAAATTAATTTAAAGTGAGGAAGCTTGAAAAAAAAACAGAACAGAATAAAGAGGAATGCAACTTCTTGCCACCTCTTCCCCCCCCCCCCAAAAAAAAAAAAAAATCTGATCACTGGTGCGCATGCGCAGAATGTAGTCGGTAGCGGACGCCCTTGTAACAATTGTTAGGATCGCACGTCCATCATTATGGGAATTATCAAGGGAAACCGCCAAGCCATTAGGACTATATAGCACTGGGAAAGGGGGTCAGGCTAAGGATTTGGGATGGGACGGGGGGAAAGGAATGGTGCCCAACAACTTATGGACGGTCTGGGGGATTGAACGCCGACCTGCGTGATGTGAGACCGTCGCTCTTCCGTCCAGTCCAAGAGCCATCGAAGGTGGGAACAAATTTCAGGGAGAGACTGAGGGGAAGGGAGTTTCACCATGATGGAGAAAAGATGGAACTTGGATTAATTGAATACAACTTATAAACAATTCTAAGGGGAGCTGCCGAACGAGATCAAAGAAGCTACGTTCAAAGTGAAGAATAACAGAAAAGATCCCACACACACACACACACACACACACACACACACACACACACACACACACACACACACACACACACTACGGGAATTAAACCTCACTTCGCTGGAAGACAGAAGAGTTAGGGGGGACATGATCACCACATTCAAGATTCTGAAGGGAATTGATAGGGTAGATAAAGACAGTCTATTTAACACAAGGGGAACACGCACAAGGGGACACAGGTGGAAACTGAGTGCCCAAATGAGCCACAGAGATATTAGAAAGAACTTTTTTAGTGTCAGAGTGGTTGACAAATGGAATGCATTAGGCAGTGATGTGGTGGAGGCTGACTCCATACACAGTTTCAAGTGTAGATATGATAGAGCCCGATAGGCTCAGGAACCTGTACACCTGTTGATTGACGGTTGAGAGGCGGGACCAAAGAGCCAGAGCTCAACCCCCGCAAACACAACTAGGTGAGTACAACTAGGTGAGTACAGGGGTCTGGTAGCTGAGTGGATAGCGCGCATGCCTCGCAATACTGTGGCCCGGGTTCGATTCCCGGAGCAGGCAGAAACAAATGGGCAATGTTTCTTTCACTCTGAATGCCCCTGTTACCTAGCAGTAAATAGGTACCTGGGAGTTAGTCAGCTGTCACGGAGCTGCTTCCTGGGGGTGTGTGTGTGAGAACAAAATAATAGTTAGTAGTTAGTAACTGTTGATTGACAGTTGAGAGGCGGGCCGAAAGAGCAACGTTCAACCCTAGGAAGTACAACTAAGTGAATACACGCCCGCACGCACGCACGCACGCCCGCACGCACACACGCACGCACACAAGGACCTGCAGACTCCCAAGGTCCACACCAACAGCACTCTTCAAAAGGACCAATTATAACTTATGATGATAACTGATTTCAAACTTGAAGTGGGAGCTGGCCCCCTCTTGTGTTGCACGCTCGCGCATACACCCACACGCACGCACGCACACACACACACACACACACACACACACACACACACACACACACACACACACACACACACACACACAATTTCTACCTTTTCTTACTATCCTTCTCCTCCTCCTCTTCCTCTCTCCCTCCACTTTCTTTTAGACTTCAGTATACCAGAGTTTACAAACCTGTAGAGGCATTCACTTGGACACAATATTATTGAATGTGAAATCGTCAAAGATTTGAAGACCTTCAGACCTATTGAACAACCAAGTCTGTAACTATTTCAGTTAATCTGGTGTACTGGACGACATCCTAAATTTGCTTTGACGGGAAGGGGGGGGGGGGGTGACAATAGTAGTTACTACTGGTGGTAATAGTAGTAGTAGTAGTTGTTGTTATTGTAGTATTAATGGTAAGTGGTAGTTGTAGAAATGAAACTAGCAGAAGTGGTATTTGTAGCTTCAATAGCATGAATTGCCTACGCTTTTTTTTTTTAGTAGTAATAATTTTAGTAGCAATAAGTGGACGTAGCTGGAAGTTGTCGGATTAGGCTTAGCATTCAAACTTTCCTGCTAAATTTCATGCGTCAGAAATATTTCCCGATGGATAAAATTAATTTTTCTTTCATCAATACGAGGCCTAAAGACTCAAAAAAAAATATGGGAAGAGATCCTTCAGCATTTCCTTCTAAACACCGTCTAAAGGACTCTAATACACAGCTGTACCGGTTACAACACTTTTCTGTAAAGGTTTCTGTTGTTTATTTTATTCGTGTACTCTATAGCCACTTGGACTGGTTGGTAAAGCGACAGCCTCGCTTCTTGCAGGTCAACGCTCGATCCCCGACGGTTCAAGTGATTTGGCATCGTTCCTTCCCTCCGCCCTCATATCCCAACTCCTTTAGTGGCATTATATCACTGCCGAGTACTATATTGTTACACACTGGCTTGGCGCTTTCTCCTGATGTTTGTTTCGTGTGCTCATTTGTACTCAGATGTACTCCACGTTCTCTATTTCTGTCTTTATTCATTTATCTTTTTTCTCTCTATCTCTCTATCTTTGTCTCTTCCTATACTTATCCTTATATCTCTGTTCTGAGTTATGCAACTATATCAACCTATATTTCTCTATCTGCGTCCCTGTCTATCTCCTTCTCTGTCTCCGTCTCCATCTCTCACTTTCTCTGCGATATCTCAAATCCTCCAATAAGCCAATGGGAATTAGTATGACGTCACACAAACTATATCACAAACCGGCCAATTAGCGACGAGGAAACGTTATTAACAGTAAACGCTTTCTCGTTTCCTGCGACAATATAATACACCTCTGAAGTCAACTAGGACGCTATAGGAGCCGATATTAACTAGAGGGGAGGATCTCAGAGCAAGGATATAAGGAGCAGTTCTCGGCTATAATTGTTGCCAGCGCTGGGACACAAGGAATCAGTCCCAGCTAAGTGGTCCCAGCACTGGGACACTAT